ATGCCATCGATAAGTCTCACAGTAATTGTAATTCGTGTTGTCGATCGAATATTATACGTTACTGATATCGGACTATGTATTGTGGAAAAATATACAACCGGTTGGGTTAGGTTATAAATAAAAAAACTAGCAAAAATGTAGACGGTGACTTGTCTAATTAATTATAATAGTCCACAGATAAATTAGATAAATTCAATAGTTTCGACATGTCTTTGGATCAATTTACATTGAGCGATTCTGTTGCTCTAAATATTAGAAAATATATTAATACGCAGTCGGTACAGCTTATTGTATATTCAGTATTATTTGTGATGGAAATAAGCAATTTATTAATACGTATTATCCAACTAAATTTAGTATTGGCGCGGCAACGGGAATGTTATCAATAAGCATCACTTGGAGAACAAAATCGAGCCACAGCAGTATCCGAACTTCTACTTGAATTTGTATCTTGAAAATGAACATGATTGAGCTCGATATTCTATACACATGTATTTTTATTTATTTATTTATTTATGGTACACAAAACAGATTACAATTGATAAACTAATCACAATAACAATCAAACTAATATTATCGCCTGAATTGCAATCAACGAACTTGTGTATACTACATGCATTAAACTGAGTCTCTCCATTCATATAAAACATTCAAATAACATATATTAAGTGACTTAAAGTTAAGAAGCTAACGTTAAATTAATATTAGATAACAATTATACTGCAATCAGATTACATTAAATTAAATTTAGAGTTAAATTGAATTAAAATTAGATAGGATTATAATTAATAAAAAATAAAAATAATAATAACTTAATAATAACTTTATGTGTATAGAAAATCGAGCTATTGTTAGCTCATTATATTGTCTTTTTCGATATATAATGTAGGGTAATGGGTTTTGGTATTACTTGATATGAGCATCATATTTTATGTTGGGTTTTTAAGGAGTTGAATATACGATCGCATTTAGTGATAAACCTTAGTATTTTATGTGGTATAAGATCGATGTTTAAAACGCCATAACAAATGTTACCTTGTTTACAGAATTATAGGCTCGTAATTAAACAAATACATTAAAATAGATCGGTGTATATTATAATAATATATTCGCATAACTATCGTCACGTAAAATATCTGAAACTGGAGTGCGACTCGTCGGAAAACGAATTTCCCTATTCTATTAATTGCCGTCGATGTTCTTGTGTGATTGATAATTGAAAAGCAAAATTTATAGACAAGCTATGATTAAAATAAAAAATGGAAGATACGGCAAAAGAGTCTTGTAAATGGTCGCTACTAATGAGGACGCATACAAATTATTAACAACTAGTTTTTGCTAGCTTCGCCTGCTTCGGTCCCTAGGGAAATGTTTAGTGGGGTAAAAAGTGTCCTATTATGTAAATCAGCTATCTGTATATCAAATTTCATCAAAATCCGTTTAGTAGTTGACGGACAAACATCCAAAGAAACTTTCTCATTTATAATATTAATAGGATAACATAATTTCGCTCGACCTTAAGAGTGTTAATTCTCTTAAGGTCGATCTCTCCACACAGGGACACAATATGCGCTTAGAATAAAAACATTAGTGGATAAAATGAGAAAAAAATGAAACTAGAAATTGTTTAAGAAAAAATTTTAAAACATACTTCTTATTCAAAATCAAAAAAAGTTTAAGAGTAAAGAGTATATAGGTGGGCGGGCGCCTGTAGGTACATTATCTAGAGTGGGTGTACTCTGCTGCGCGGCGTGTTGTCACGCGCTTGCGTGTAATGATCACGAGTTTCTGTCTCGCTCGTGCTAGTGTAATTCAAATTCAATATCATTTCTTTAGTCCAGGCTGTTTTCAAATCAAATCTATTAGTCTAAGATCCGAACCTAAATCGACCTTCACCGGGTTGATAATGGAATAAAACTTATTGTATAATTAATTTAGTATATTAGAAAATATATTAAAAATGGGTTCGCTAAAAAAATCCTGGACAGAATATTTTAAATTATTTTAAAAAAAATATTTTTTTATTTAATGTTGCAACATCAAGATAATAAGAAAAATTTAATTCTGACTTAAAGTATAAAACATATAGAATATGCAGACGTTAGGTTGTCTATTATTTACCTGGACGAACTACTGGGTTGTCAGGTATAAACAGGTACTTTCCCACGCGTTAAAATTTTAGTTTTTAAAATTCGCAAACCCGTATTAGGACCGAATTTTTTGCAGACAACCCTATATCAATGTGTTCGTAATGAAACAACGCTTATGTTGATATAATTTTTTTTATTATCAAATCAAGTGAAATTATCTGGCATCGATATACCTGTTTATACCTGACAACCCAGTAGTTCGTCCAGGTAAATAATAGACAACCCAACGTCTGCACATTCTATATGTTTTATACTTTAAGTCAGAATTAAATTTTTCTTATTATCTTGATGTTGCAACATTAAATAGAAAAATATTTTTTTAAAAATAATTTAAAATATTCTGTCCAGGATTTTTTTAGCGAACCCATTTTTAATATATTTTCTAATATACTAAATTAATTATACAATAAGTTTTATTCCATTATCAACCCGGTGAAGGTCGATTTAGGTTCGGATCTTCTACTATATCCTATGCTGTCTCGTTCACTGACAAGCTACCGATAATGCTACCTCCTGTCGCTCACGCTATAGTTAGAACTTAATGTTGTTTTCTCGTGGAATACCACGTAAGCATGTGAGTGAGTTTTACCGTGTCTTCCCTTTTTTATTTTAATTCAAAGTGGATAACCTTTCCTATTTGTAACAATATAAAACATACTATATCGTATTGAACGTAATATTCGATATCATACAGATACAATATTGATTTTTTTTAGTGTGCTCCTTTGAAACGCATCTCTCGCATTGAAGTCTTGTACAGCAAACTGGTACACACAACAAACTTGTACAGTAGCACTATGAAAATGCTTATCATAATTTTTGGTATGCATATTCGAAAATACTTATGTACCACCAGCCCTTTTACGTCCCCACTGCAGGGGCTCAGGCCTTCCTAATGGATGATTAAGGATGATGGGCCATGACCCTCCACGCTGGCCCAATGCGGATTGGAGGGTAAGAGAGAAAAAACTTATGTATGTCATAAAAAATGTATTTAGAATTCGACGACCTTTTCGTACAGCTAAATTGATCGTTCGTATTTGAATCTAAAATGTAATTACATACATTATTATATATATGTAATTACAGACTGACTTCACGGAGATGTGAGAATGGTGGCAATAGAATTAACCTAATATATATATATATATATATATATATATAAAATGTGTATAAATAAATGGGTATTCGTTTCTGTGACGATTTGTGTTTTTATAAATAAATGAATAAAAAATGAATTACTGCCATAACGTTGTTTTTATTTATTTATATGATAATGTCCACACTTGGTTTCGAAAATAGCTTGAATATTTGAGTGTATATCTTCGTTTTCGGTTCGGTACGGTGTGCCCGCGAACGCGTGCAGCTGCACCGGGCCCGTGTGTGGCGGCGGCAGCTCATCTTTGTTGTCGCACAACGACCGCAGATGGTGCCACGTGTAGCCCTCGTCGTAATTCAACATGGACACGAAAAATTCCACCGCCAGTTTCTGTCAAAACACACAGCGCATTAAGTAATATATTAGTGTAGGATCGACGACCGTCGGGCTACTAAACTACAGCTTGACATTGGGGAAATTTTTGCTTCTCGATACACAACCCTGTTGTGTTAAAAAAGTGATAATACATGTCTCTGTTGTAACTTATAAATATTTAATAAAACTTATAAAGTTTTATGACAGTAATTCGGAAAATGTTACGCTTTGAAAAAAGTATTACATAAATTATTAAAACACATATGGCGTTAAATTAGACACTTAAAACGTAACAACTTTCACAAATAACAATGATATTACAAATATTGCCCAGACAGATGCACATACGATTTTGGCTATCGTAGCACTATGTGACGTCACTTAGTGGCTTGAATTTGTAGGGAGCGTTTTCGGCCGACTATCAGCGATTCCACAAACATAGCACCGTATCTCCGAAACAATTAATCGCAGATATGCCGGTACTTGTACATTATTTCTCAGACATTAACGAACTATTTATAAATTATATTCTCAATAACTTAAGTTTTTTTACTTTTAACAAGTCAAAAATGTCCTAGTTTTTATCAAACTGCTATCAACTAAATTCAGAAACTGGGCATAAGTAGTTTATATGATTACAAACTATTGACACGTTAATACCTGTAAAGGTTCCGGTTGTTTCTTGGAGAGGAACATTTGCACGCAAGTGAACGCGTCCAGCAGATGGCGGTGGCGCGCCCCCACCCGCGCCAGGAGGGGGGGCAGCGCGCGCAATGCCGCCTCCTGCGTGTCCATCAACACCCTGTCTCGATACGCACACGAATCCTTCACGTTGCTCTCGCACCATTTCTTCAGTTGCGAGTATATGTGCGGCATCACTTCCCTACGAGATAATACACTATATATATATGACGGCACATAATTATCTATCTATAACTTCACGCCGTAACCCCGGCGGGGTAGGAATGCCACGGTCCTTGGATACATCTTTCGCCTCATAAATCTTCATTTCTGTTTTCATACATTTCCTTCTATGGGCAATTTTTTATATCAAGATAGGACTGGAGTCTGCGTGGGTTTGCGAGAGACGTAATAGACGGCGATATCAATAATCTTGCGTGTAATTGATTTGTGGAAACATTTAAATATAGTAGGACTATTTATAAATCTAAATTAGTTCGACGGTCAGACTAATAGGAAAAAACATTCACACGATCGAATTAATGAATCGAACTAGTGAGAACAAAGGAACAAAAATAACCCTTTTCTGCGGGTCTGGTGAGTAATTTAACTTTATCATTTTTGATTGTATCTAGTATACATTTACAACAGGTAATAATAATAAATAGATTTAAAGACTCCTTACAAAATACTGCTATTAATTGAAATTAAGTATGTATAATGTTTCTAAATTGATGAATCGACGTGAATAATAAAAATAAATAATGTTAAAGATCAAATACAAAAGCACTCACTTAACGCATCTGTTGTGTATGAAGTCTCTGGCGAGCGTCGCCGTCGTCACCAACAAGTCTAGAGCGCGCCGCCACACGAGCGGCTCGTACGTCGCCAGTCTGCACAGAAACGTACGTATTCTTAATGAAATATGCTTTAAAAAATCCACAAGCTCAGGTACTCTGAGATGAGAATCGAACCGATGACATTTCGCAAGCCGGGCGACCGCTCTAACCAATGATCTACCTGGGACATAACAGGACTGACGAATTTTTCAATCTCTTTTCGCTACTAGTGAGCGTAATTTCATTAATACTTGCAGATTTTTAAGGATTTTTCATTTCGATTATTTTCCAAGATAGCATTGTGAATGCAAAATTAATCAAAATGAATAATTACAAATATATATATCAAGTTATAAAGTAAATTAGCTGAAACGGACGGACAGACATAGACACTGTAGTGATCCTATATAATTATGGGCTTAAATGTTAACCGTTGAAGCCTCAGTATGTGTTAGAAGTCGTCGCTCACGAGTTGTCATCCTATTAATATTATAAAGACAAAAATTTGTAGGTTTGTATGCATGTTACTTCTTTACGCAATAACTACTGGACGGATTTACATGAAATTTGGTATTTCAGCAATTCTTGGTCTGGATTACATATAGGCTACTTTTAATCCCGCTAAAAGGTTCCCTAAGGATAGAAGTACTTCCAAGGGCGCCTATTTTTGTGAACGCTGCTTAAACGGTAATGCTTTCTAAAGCAAAGTTGAAGAGCTTTAAATTATCTATAAATAAAAGTCCCTGATGGAATATATCTATGTGATGTGATAAGATTTAAAAAAATCGTAAAGTGTATTTTTTTAAATCTATATACTAATAGAGCTGAATAAAGCTGAAGAGTTTGTTGATTGAACTCTAAAATTAAATGAACTTCTGGAACGAATTGAATTTAAGTGTTGAATAGTTCACTTGTCGAGGAAGGCTACATTGTCGAGGAAGGCTACATGCCATATAGTATAACGTCACGTTATGACTTATAGGAGTGGAGCAGCAATGAAAAATGTCGCAAAAACGGGAGAATATTTTACTTTTTAAAATTTCCTTGCGTACGCTGCGTAAACAGTAAAAGTTACGCAAAAAAACATGTACATATTACTAAATTAATCATATTTTAAAAGATCTATAAAGTCCGCGGCAGTATTTATCTGTCTTATCCCGAAAAAAAGCACATAAAGGGCTGAAAATGGGAGTGGAAGTTCGTATAAGGCATTAAATCGTTACCATAGTAACCATTGTTTAGAATTCAATTTGTCATTTTAGTTATATTCCATGTCATCCTTTTCTTAATCTATTTTTAATAATTTAAGGTGTTTACGCAAGATTAAATAATGTTTTCAATAATTTTAATCGGTACAATCATTGTCGCTGATTTAAAATGCATATGTTATATTGGTTACACGAAAATGTTACATTTAGCTATCTCTACTGAGCACTAGATGACGCTACTGTACTTTTAAAACAGGATCTTGATTTTTGTTACATTTATTTTTAATTTTTTTCCAAATTTTTATCAAATAAAGTAATTTTGGTTTTTAATTTTGCGGTATTTCCAATAACATAATTTAATGAAGAATTGTTAATCCGGCGAAATAAAAAAAATGTTATTGTGTTTGTTAGATATTTGTAATTTTAACACAAGACTTATTAATAAATTACATCTGATATTTATTAAATCAAAGTACATGAGATACAACCTGGCTACAGACAGACGGCTAAGTCTTAGAAATAGGGTTGTTGTTTTACCCTTAGGGTATGGAACCCTAAAAAATTAAAGATGCTGATGAAGTGGCAGGCACAGCTTTATAGATGTATCGAGTGGTGCAGTTAAGTTTGCGTCAAACTATATAAAACTGTAAAACTTCCCCACTAAATTTTAAACCTTAATATATTGAGGGTAGAGATCAAAAACCATTGCAGTATTTGATTAAATTTAAAACTAAGTTGAGAGACCAATTGAAACATGGAACGTCGAATCCTAATAAGGCCTGCCATTTGATTTTAACCAGGGTTCGTTGATAAATATGAAAGTATATACGTTGAGATAAAGTATAAATTGATATTTATAATATTTATTGTTAAATTGAGTATCGAGTCTGCTAGAAAATTTACCTACCCGATGTGACGCTGGCAACATTGGATCAAAGTGGCCAATTTTACTTACTAGAAATTTCGAAATTTTAAATATAAAATAAAGCATGACAAAGAAGGCTATTTTAATGTTTATAATAAATATAGGAGTTTTGCGAACCCTGATTTTGGCATATGCACGTATAATAGCAGTGTTTATATTGAGGATAGAGGTCAAAATCCATTGCAGAAACTCGACAAAAGCTGTGCGTACACACCTGTGAGCGAGCGGTCCCCACGCCTGGTGTACAAGCGGCAGCAGCTCGTCGTGGTACGACTCGAGTACCGGCAGCCCCGCAGCGAGCGTGGCCAGCGCGAGCGCGGCCGCCGCCCGCCGCTGCCCGACCACGAACATGACGCACCGCTTCAGGATGCATGACGTCACCGACACGTGCTCCGGCAACGGACGCTTCTCCTCTAGTAAATAATCAATAATAGGGTATTCTCCTCTGTTTCAAATAATACTTGCAACTGTTTATTTCATTAAAAAAAACATAAAACAAATAATTTGAAAATATAAAAACGTTTTCTTGCTTTAAAATTTAAACAAAATTTAAACTTTTTTTATACCCGCGAAAACGCTGTCATTGTGATATGTACACAAACCAGATGCAAGATGCATAGAGTACAAGATTTAAAGATGTCAATAAAACAAGAACAGCGCCATCTAACGATCGATTACGAAATAAAAAGATTAGGCGTAGAACAACAGTCACGTGACACACAGAAAGTAAAAATCACGACTTAATTCTAAAATAACAAGTTAATCAATTTTTAAACTCAAAATCAGAATCTCTATGTTTATAGCGATGTAAATTTAAGTTTTTGTGCAACTTCGTGACTTATTCTACCTTCAAGAATGTCGCTTAATCGACCTGAGCAAAATGTAATCTTAAATTTAAAATCTCCCAAGGTGCCTACTTGACTAGTTGAAGTTGGCAGTCAGTTTCTAGTACTTCGTTCAACCCAGCTCTCGAGAACGTTTTGTTTACATCCAAATCTACATCTCAGAGAAAAGTAACATTTGGTGCAGACAAAGCGTTTCAATAGAATTTCAACTGCTTGCATTTGCCATTGTTCTATGTACCTGCACACAAATATTATTATATATCTGTCACTTATTGATTTGTGAGAAAGACATAGCACTAATAATATTGGATTTCAGTTAGACAGTACAATGGTAAAATACAAATAGTTGATATGATTAATTGCATAATTTGCCTAGTTAAGGCGAAACATCTCGGCGTGTCTATTGATACCGGTCCAATATATTATTTTGGGCAACTTGCACTTCCTCCTACAACTAGGGTTGCGACCGCCTAACTCTCAAGTCATGACTAACGATAGAATACAACATCTCAGCGTTACCATGACGATATTTCGTTGCATTTTACAACTTTCCAACCCAATCACTACGCTCTAAAACATTCCTTAAAATCCCTACATGTGAGCCTCTGTGAGTTACTGTGAGTTAAAACTGAACTCACCTGTGACCTTGTCATCGTAATCTAATACATTGTCTTCTCTACTCTTCAAATCTTCTTTATACATTTCCTCAACACTCCTGCCGGTTTCCTGTTCGAACTCCTCGGTCTCCATCAATCGCTCCGCCTCCTCGGTGTTCTTTATATATTCTAATAAGTCATTCATTAAATCTAATTCCATTTCTTCATTATTATCCGCAATATTGTCATCTCTCTCCTGTATAGGAAACCATCTTCTTATACACTGGACGAAACTCAGAAACACTTGTAGATATGCCTCCAGATTATGTTCGTAATACTTATCACAACTTTGGACCAGAACCTGTGAAGTTGGAACAAGTCTTGTCTCGAACATTTTGTCTACTCATTTTATTTAAAAATTTCATTAGACAACGTGTAACACAATGAACGCACATCCTGAAGTAGTTTGTTTAAAATTGGATACTGATTCGATTTCAACAACTTCTAATATAGGTAAATTGTTTTGTTAAATTTAGAATTGGAATCAAGTAAATTATGGTCACCTGTAAACATTACAGCCGTCACAAACAAAAAACAAACTTAAGTGAATGTAATAAGGCTTTTTAAAATGCACTATACTCTTAGCTTGCAATAAAATACAACATACGAAAAAACAAATAAAAACGGGCTTTCTTTTAATGTGTCTTGAGTCTAAAATGCTTTTAAACGCTACATGCATAAATTCATAAACCAAAGAAAGAAATAATATATCACAAATAAACCTGACATATGTGACAAACACGACAGTGGAAGTGGATGATTATTATATCGCAATTTAAGTTTATCGAATTTTCACATGCGATGATTCTTCGTTACACTAACGTACAGTAAATACATCGAAATGCTTAGGGGTTAGGCACAATGTGGTGATACTGTGCTCGCCGTGTGATATGTGATACTCATAACAAGTAAGAATCATAATTATTGTCTAAACCAAAGAAACACTGAATCTCGAAACAGAATATTTGTTGTCGAGAATTTTATTGGTAGGTAGGTTGTATCATTGTGGTATTGCGCTGTAGGTACATACATTTGGTGTTGCAGGCTAAGTCGTAATTTTGACGTCATTGTGAAGATTTGTAAGATGTCCACTCTGTTACCCAGCAATTAGTATAACAGTGTCCACACATAAACAATGTTTTAGTACATAAAAGTAAAATTCCAATTTTCGTTTTCTGATTATAAATGCAATTTTCTAATAAGAAAGTATTTTCGACTCTAGCAAAAGTTGATTTATGCGGGAAACGAATGGACAAAAGATAATCATTTCCGTTACTTTTAACTAAGATATAAAAAAAAACTGAAATTTGCAAAGTTCAAAAACTTAGATATTAATACAAATACGAAAAAGTACAAATAGAATATGAGTTGTTTATTGAGTTGTGAAAACTGATTTACTTTTATACGTGAAAGAAAACCGGAAGGGTTGTCATGAAGAAATCAAGGAAGTACCATAGCGACATTTAGTTTGATTTCGGGAACTATTTTTTTTTTAATCTTACACCTTGGGATATAGAAGGATGTGCGTTATTCCTGTTACACGTTATATACGAAGTGCTACTCACGTCTCTCGCTATCCCACAGAGAAAGTCTAATAGACTCGGATCGCTGTATTCCATGACCACAGATAATATTTCCAGCGCTGACTGCGTGTTCCATGCCTGCGTGTGATAATTCGATTCGATATAAGTCCAACAGTGAAGCTATATAGTTTCATACATATATGATCAACCACTCTATGATAGCAGTTATGTTGGATTAACAAATATATTGAACACACACAAGATGGTATGTACTGTGACAAGAAAGGGTTAAAAAAATTACAAGATTTCGGTTGAGCTGCGTAAAGCGGTAAACTACATTAGAATTATAATGATATATACATATCCTATTAATATTATAAAGGCGAAAGTTTGTAAGTATGGATGTATGGATGTTTGTTACTCTTTCACGAAAAAACTACTGGACGGATTTGGATAAAACTTTACAGCAATATAGGTTATACATCAGAATAACACATAGGGTACTTTTTACTGGGAAAACTTCTCACTCCCACGGGATACCGACTTCCACGCGGACGAAGTCGCGGGCGTCCACTAGTATTGATATATTATGATAATTGTAATGATGCAACAATCGATAGACTAGATTGATAGTTAAGTGTAAATAAGAATAACCGATTCAGCCGAATGCGAAATGGGCACTTATTTATTGTAGATATAAGAGGTAATTTGTGACGTGCTAAAATTGCTTATGTAACAGATTTATCTAGTACGATTGCTCGTACAAGCTGAATATGGATGATGATTAATTGTTGTTTGTTTGTTCGTCTGGTAGATTTTTAAACGCAATTTTTTTTATTTTTTGTGTAACCAATAAGTTGCTCTGATATACTGTGTTGAAAAGTCACATGACGTCAGGCTTTTGTGCACTTCCTACTTGGTTGTGACGTAACGAACCCCCACTCCGCAACTTTAGTACCTATTCATCTAAGCCATTTCTTGTTAAATTTAAGCAAAAAAATATACGTATCTAATATTTCTCTATTATCTGACTGACTGATTAGTTCTTTTTTTAAATCTTGTTATCATTCTCATTAACTCGCATCCGTAGGATACTCCATCTTTCCTAAGAAACACCCTACACGTGTTCCCCGGGTGGTGCTAAAGTGTAACAACGCCTAGTTTCGGGCGGCGGTTATTTAATCCGATCTAGCAGACCTAACACGTTTGTATATATTGTATATATATGGAGGTAGGAAATGACCCCAACAACTCAGTATTGCGGTCATGTCTCGTAAGACTGAGGGTTTGAACTTAATTGTTTGAATCAAGAGGAAGAAAACCTCAATAAAAAAATATCCTTATCCCAGTGGTGAGGAACGTGCCGAAGGGGTGCATGGCATGCTACATATAAATTGGACACCTTCCAGTTTATAGCACCAACCTCGCTGTAACAGGACAGCAATGGTGTTTTGTGCCTTCTTACAGTAACAGGCGTCACTGTGTACGCGACCTTTTGATTCGTCTCAATCGTGGGAACCAAACAGGGAATGCAATCTCAAAGCGAGAACGAGAGCTCGCGAGATCTCGGCCTTTTTTAGCGAGATTGATCTCGGTCGAAAAATGGGCGAAACGAGATTGCACTAGAATATAAAAATGAATTTATGCTAGTCCAGGGGGTTAAAAGGCAAAAATTTACACTTTTACAGAAAGGGTCTCTTCAGCGGCTGGTTACCTGGCCAGCACAATAATAAGACGAATAGCAAAGATTCTTTGGACATTTTGTGTTTCTTAAGAAGCTACTTTCAAAATTAATCATAATGACTGAATAATCCTTTAAATTGAGTGGTATATTTAGTTAATTTATTCTTTAATTTCTTAATGCCCCTTAGTTCACGAAGAACGATTAAACCTCTTAGAGCCGAGTCGTTGGACCCATCGAACATGGTGAGGAGATTGAAAAATGACCACATAGTTGATTAGGAGAAGCGGTGATGACAGCTTCACTAAACCAATCATCTCCATCAACAAATTAGCTTATGGTCTTGCGACCGAAAGAAAAGAGAACTTTAAAAACATATGAAATGCAACCTTCTTGAGCCTAACGGTGACCTGGTGCGTGAAGTAGTCTGCGTTGCGCTGCACGAGCGCGGCCGCGGAGCCGCAGCCCAGCGCCGCCGCCGCCGCGTGCAGCGCCGCCGCCCCCGCAGCGCGCAGCAGCGCCTCGCGGCTGCCTGGGGGCACACGGGTTTGTTTCTATTTTATACATATACATATATTAAATATATCTAAAAACACATTTTTCAATGCAGTTGCTCATAAAGCGCTATTTTTTATAATTCATTGTAAACACCGAAAGTGAGTCTTTAAACACGTGTTAAATAAAAATGTACTGAAATCCTTTACTGCACACGTGCTTAAAAGTATATTTTTTTATTTTTTTGGCCGAACACTAAAGAAATTAAAAAAAAAATTGATGATAATATGTCAAATTTTAGAGGCAAAAGTATTTCAAGGAGCCTAGATCGAATATTTTCAAATAAAAATGTATGACACGAAAACATGTTCAAATTTGACGTTTAATTTTAACAAATAATTTTTACCTTTAATACATACTTAGTTTTATTAACCTATATATTTGTTTCATATTTCCTCGCAAAAAGCATTGAAAAATGTTGTAAAAAACTTGAGCGTAAAAGATAAAACCTTACTTTCCACACTCGTATCTTAAATAACTATTATAAAGTATCATTTTGTTTAAAATCTAAAAATAAATTTGATCAGACATGTTAGGGAACTCCGTAACCGTAACCGAAACTATCGGATATCCGAATTAAAAGATTATTCGTATCTATAATGGTAACCGAAAAAAGTTTCGTATAATCACGGATAGAAACTGAATCTACATCACAAATGAGAGTTTTCTTTCTTCCCGCCCAAGCCGACGCACCAGTCACGTGCATTTATTTTATATGCTCGCAAATTTTCAAAGTTATCGTACGATTGGTAAAGGCGTAGGAGACACGCGATGACCAAATATCTATGGATATTCTCTAAATATAATTCTAGTACCAGTACCAGAAGAGTAAAATCTGGCTATGTTAAATTAGAATGCAATATTATTAAACTCCATATTCTATACTCCAATGGAAAATATGGTTTTAGTAAGCGAAGATCACAGAAAATGCTTTTTTTAAGATATTATAGAGATAAACGGTAAACAAGACACCAACTAAGCTTGCAGATTAATATAGAGGTCTTAAGAGCCCTAGTTATGGACTACATAAAAAAGCTAATAACAACAAAATATTTGATAAAGAAAATAGCCTTTCATTAGTTATGTAAATAAATAGTTAATTATCCATAAAATTTAAATTTTACGCAAAAACGCGGTAATATAATCTGTAACGAATGTGTTCAAATTGACAGCCAGATGTCAGCTTACTAGGGATATTGATTCACTATGAAAACAACTGATCTTTCATTGGATTGAAATGAATCCGAATTTGGTATATTTGAAGTAATATTTATATGCTGTTATTTGTATTTTATTAATTTAACTTTACTATTATTTTCATGGGCATTTTTGGAAATGTAGTGATTAATCGAAAAAAGATTTTCAACGCTGATTTTATAGAGATTCAATGTTGATATAATCAATTTGATTTTTTTTTAAAATAAAACAAAGTTATGACATATTTGTATTTTACTTTTAAAATTGTTCAATAATCTGGTATCAGTAACCGTATCCGAAATCTTAAATATCCGTATGGGAACTGTAACCGATATAACATATCCGTAACATCCCTGATTTGTTTGATAAAGAAACATAGTCAAAGACGACTCAGGTACCCATTCAGCATCCTTCAGGGGTCTGATCAGAAAGCTATCAGATAAGTCTGATTAGATATATCAGATGAGCTATATTTATCAATCAGCTGGTCAATGTCCGGAATTCGTTCTCTAGTTTCTTCGCCCATGACGAAACCAGCTTGCAACTGTGGTATTCGGTAGACCGAGAAATAATGAAGTAGCTCAGTGGCGTAGTGGGTAAGCGCCGCGGCCCATATAGTTGATAAGCAACTTTGGCAAGGGTGGCCAAGAAATTACTAACTCGAGCTCCTCTGTGGTTCGGAAGGCACGCTAAGCCGTCGGTTCCGGCTGCATTTGCAGCCGTTAATGCCCTCAAATCTGCATCAGGCCAGCGTGGAGAGTCACGGCCCTTCTTATCCATCCATAGGGTCGGAAGTGATAATGAAATAAATATGAGGCTCATCTCACCGGCCCTCTCGAGCAGTTTGACGCCGGCCCGCAGCAGGTAGGGCTGGAAGGCGCCCCGCAGCCCCCGCGCGGCGCCCCCCGCCCCCGCGGTGAGCGCGCACGCCAGCAACAGGGCGCGGCGGGCGGCGCGCGGGGGCGGGGGCGGGGCCGCGGGGGCGCGCGGGGTCGCGTAGCTTATGTCCGTGTAACGGGTCTCCACCGTGCCCTCGTACAGACCTGCGTTATTATTTGTATGACGGTATTCTGGTTTAAAATAGTTCATATTTTCCAAACATATAACGGAAATTTATATTTTCATTTGTAGTATACAAAACATAACTAAGTCGATCAGGACCAGGCCTTCCGTCTAATGAAGGCCTGGTCCTGATCGACTTAGTTATATTGATAGTTCGTTAATAAAAAGCAATTTGCCGCCATTTTGGCACACTTTCTTTTTCCGATCGCCGAGGAGTAAAGACATCCGACGACATCACGCTCATCTCGTTATATTTTCGTATGAAAAGTGATAAAATGGAACAAATCCACATTGGTATACACGCCTGCAGTGTTGTTTTAAAGATAGTCCTCCGATATGGACCATCTATTTGGGCTTCGTAAAAGCCTCTTCGGACTACCCGCCGACATATACATATATACTAACCGGGCACCCTACTGGTGGTCCAGGCGCGGGGGTCGTACACTGTGACGTCACTAGTGCCAGGATCGCTGTCCCGCTCGGGGCCCGCCTCCAGCGGCGAGTACCACACGTCGTCCTCCAGGTACACGTCCAACACTCGGCGTATAAAACTCTCGTCGCCGCTGCCTACGATATTTAAATTCTTTAATATTTTTTTGTCATTTCGTAGCTCAGAAAAATTCTTGAGACGTTAAATTACAATTTATTATATGTTTTGATCACTAAAAATATTAAATCG